AAACTTGCCACATGATTTTGTTTTTATTTTATACCTCTAACATTTATACCTCTGACATTTTTACCTCTGACATTTTTACCTCTGATATTTTTACCTATGACATTTTTTCCTCTGACATTTTTACCTCTGACATTTTTACCTCTGACATTTTTTCCTCTGACATTTTTACACCGAGCCATTTTTTACCCCCCCCCCCGGCCCCCATATATAAAAGCGATCATTCCCAAATATTCATAGTAGATGATCTAAAGTCTGCCATCATTTCCAGGAGCTTTCACAACAGTTACTCTAGCTATGAAGGGCGTAAAAGGCCTTTCATTCTTAAAATGAAATAAAACGGAGATATTGTTTTATCTTCTCATATAAGTAACACCCAAAAGCCTCAGAAGGGGACATGCGTTAAACAAGAATGGAATATCCTGATTCTTTTAATCTCCGTAAAATATATGAGAAGGCATCGTGCTTTACCGTCATAACAATTCAGCCCTCCGGATGGAGTTGAATTTTGTCCATAAGGTGTGTCTTTTATTGCTATGCTCGCTCCTGCAAATCCCAACTTTCTACAGATGCCAATGACGGTATAGATCCAGTAAAAATCATTACATATTGTCTCCCATGTTCCATTGTCTATCCTGATCTCGACTGTGCCTTTATTGGAGGTTGGACCACCAACAAGTCGTAAATCTGTTAGGAATATTAGAGAACAGAACATTTGTGAATTTGGCAAATGAAAAACATATTCTTCGTTGATCAACGCACAATACTACTGTAACCAAAATAACTAACTGATTTTACTAAAGTAAATAATTATGTCTATTTAAGCCTTGAATTTGTATCGGAGCTCTTGTATTTCACCTTATTTTAATTTGTGCGTTATGTACATAAAGTATAATGGTTTGTATGATCTTTTCTCTCACTCTCTTTTTCTCCCTCTCACTCTTTCTTTCTCTCTCTCTCTCTCTCTCTCACTCTTTCTCTCTCTCTCTCTTTCTCTCTCTCTCTTCTTATTATTTAAAGTATGGTGTTTTTACTATCCTACAAAATGATGTATCCTTTTTTAGGGGGAGGGAGGGGGGCATGAGTCCTTTTTTCATTCATTGTCAGTGTGACCCCTCCCCCCCCCCCCCCCCCCCCCTCCCCCTCCGTGCAATTTACTACGACCGGGATTCATGTTAAAATCATCTCTGTTAATTAGGCCAACCAAAACAAAGCAGATTCTCGAAATGTTTCAAGAGCGGTGTCCAACGAACTGAAGGGCTCATGTGGGTCTCACAATTGCATGGGGGGGGGGGCACATTACGTAGGCCTAAACACATTGCTTTCTGACCGGTGTACATATCCTGGTTGCAAGTTTTCCCTGGATCCAGCAATGTTTTTGTGAATATCGTGAACACCATATCGTTCATAGGATGCTACTGAACATTAAATTTGATTCTCTAAAGGCTCCATCCCATCCCCTTACACACATACACACGCACACGCACCACAACAAACAAATTCACACAGACCTATAAGATTGTTTAATCCAAGGTGCATAAACAGATGAAAAAATGAAAGATTACTGGTACCTGTTATGGCACTGTAAACACAATGTTCCCCAACAAACATGAACAGAATCATCACTATGAATACAGGAAATATCCTACTAATGTCCATGCTTAATGGTTCCCCGTTTTTCGACTTGAAAGCAACGTTCACGAAATGAAATATGGCTTCCTCGTTAGAACAGCGTTTCACAATCATGACAATGTAACCTGGTTAACAATTTTACTCTATCACTTTTTCCTGCAGACTGCTTTCTTACTGCGTTTGGTTAGAGGAAATATCCCAAACTTCCCAACAAACTTCCTTTTTGATGACATTTCTTACTACTTATTTCCTGTTTTAGTATGTTCAGTGCTTTAGATAGATTTGTCGGAAATAGCCCCAAGGTTCAATATTGAATATTAATGTGTTTGACAGTTTCCTCTTTCACGACATGTGTACATGGTATTAAGGTCATGATGAAATCCAATATTCATTTTGTACATTTTGTTATATGTTAATCGGCGAGTAATATCAAAAAAACATATTTGAAGGTGATGTAATTACTGGCATGGAATTCGACCGAACTGAGTCAGTGCATGCACTGAATCCTTCCATCCAATGTTTTAATCGCCAGCCGTAACGGACGTCGGTGGAAACCCTACTAGATAGCTTTAAATCAGGCCACATATGGAAATAAGGTGATTCATATCATAACAATTAAGCCATCTCTCTCTCCATCTATCTATCTATTTCTGTTTCTCTCTCTCTCTCATCCTTTCTTTGACTCTTCCTCTCTCCTTCTCTCTCTCTTTCTCCCCTACCGCCCCCCTCCCCTCTCTCTCTCTCTCTCTCTATCTCCCTTTCTATACCCCTTTCCATCGACCCCCTGCTCTCTGCTTGGCAACATTTGGCATACATTATACTGTGTACTTCATTTACACATTTACATTTTGGACTAAACAATAAATTTATTTTCTGTAACTTAGCCTGTCTTAATTTAGCATACGTTGGGAGAGATTACGAAAATTAAGAAGTACAATTAATGATGATGAAAGTAAAATAATAACTATCTTTATTTTGCATAACCTCTTTTTTAAGTGAAAGATCAAAACACTGCCTGTTTTCTAATATCAAATATAATCTATAATAATGATAATTATTATTATTGTTATTATTATTAGTTGTACATATCTTGTTTACCCAGGGTAGTCTCATCAGTATTGATACGGTTCTCCCTGAGGGCACTAAACCATATTATTACCCTGGCTTCTACTATAAATCTTACGTTAATCGTTACGCTACGTTAACTTATTTTAATCCATCACATCTCCGATGAATTATGAGATGTTAGCATTTACATAATTAGAACATAATTGCTACTGTAACATTGTATAATATGAATAGAGAAAGCGATACAGTAGTATTTTGAATATTTGAAAGAAATTATTACTAGGCTATATCATGCCATGCATTATACAAGTGTCAAACAACTCTATGACTAGAATGATCTGAAAACATACCTCTACCATTCTTCTTAATTTGTTGATAGACTTAGGGATAGCGTCTTGAATCCTCTGGAAAAGGCGCTATACAGATAAATCCCATTATCATTATCAACCGTCTCAATTATTGCAGAATTTTTCCGTAAGAGGGAGTCTGTTTTCTTAAATCAAATATAACTTATAATAATGATAACTAATATAATTATTATGATAATTATTATTATTATTATCATGATTATTATTATTATTATTATTATTATCATTATTATTATTATTATTATTATTATATGTCTTCTTTACCCTCGGGATAGCCTCATCAGTATGGATACTGTTCTCCCTAAGGGCCCTAAAATATATCATTACACCGGCTTGTACTTTATAACTTAGTTAATCGTTACACTGAGTTAACTTATGTTAACCCATAATTATGAGATGTTAGCATTCAATATAATTAGAACATACTGTAACATTGTATAATATGAATAGAGAAAGCGATACAGTAGTCTTTTGAATATGTGATGGACATTATGACTAGGCTATATTATGCCATGCATTATACAAGTGTCAAACAACTATATGACTAGAATGATCTGAAAACATACCTCTACAATTCTCTTTAATTTGTTTATAGACTAAGGGACAGGGTCTTCAATCATATGGAAAAGGCGCTATATATACAAAATCAAATTATCATCATATCATCCGTCTCATTTATTGCAGTCTTTTTTCCATCTGATGGAGTTCGTGTTTTGCAAATTAAAAAACAACGAATGCATTACTATAACAATATTTGTTTAAAAAGATGCAATACATCTATAATCTAAATACAACAATGTATTTATAAATTATTACGTTTACCAGAAGATATCAGCAAAGCCAGATAATTGTTTACATCTACATATGCTAATCATAAGACTTGTACACTTTGAATGAACATTTATCTACCTCGTGTCAGAGGGGACCTTCTACAAGGAATTTATTTCGTTTGATTTTGGTCACGTGAATACATTATCTCAATATATGGATCTGCATCCTGCCCGGTATCTTTCATTTTCATAGCCATGGTGTCGGTAGCCAGTGGCGGATCCAGGGGGCCCGGGGGCCCGCCCCCCCCCCCCCCTTGGAAAAAAATGTGTATTTTTACATTTGTTAACGTTAATGTTACCTTTTTTGGAGATGCCCCCCCCCCCTGGCGCTCAAAGGGGGCACAATTTTTCAAATATTCGAGGGCCAAAAAAAAAATTAGGTGCTCACCTATGGGGTTAAGGCTGGCAAGAACATAATGAGGGCCGTATTCCTGTTTGAACATTCCTTAGTCGAAATGAAAAAGATATTTTTCTTCTGTTTGTTTGTTTTTCATCAAAAAAAGGTGATAAAAAATAGTCTAGTTTTCAGTAGGAAATATCATAAAGATAAGACAAAAATAGCATTAAAGGAGTCACACCAAGAAGCAAAAGTGTATTGAATTGATGCAAAATTCATATCATTACGAAGGGGAAGCCTTACTGATCAAATACAACAAATTTCCTCTTCAAATATGTTTGGGGCCCGCAGAAATCAACTTTCAAAACTGTTAGTTTTGAGATCCAGATTTACTGCCTTCAGCAGTCCTTCGTATGACGTCACTATTGTGACGTCACACCCTGGACACGGCTGTCTAGCTGCAGACTAATACACGCGCGACTCCGGTATGCGGCCGGTACCGAGCTGTTTGTCCAGGGTGTGACGTCACTTTTCAGAGCTCGCTACGCTCGTGTGTTTGGCTTACGTTCGGGGGCGCTTGGGGGGTCTAAGAAGGGTCTTGAAAAATTGCATTTTACGCCTTTCCATGATATCTATATGATTTCTCAGCAAATTATTCGTGTTTTTCAAGAGAAAATCTTTCCATCCATATGTAATTTGTTCTAATTATCAGTTGTTAGTAAATTTTCTTTGTGTAGCTCCTTTAATAAAACGACGAGGATGGTTTTATACTACGTGTAGTATCATGGTGTAGTGTGTGTCCTGTTATTGGTCGCGAAGGTAATACAATATGGCTTTAAAGTTCACCCTTGCTTCGGCTTAATACGCTAATGATACACATTAAATCAAACTCCCTCTTGCGAGATCAGTTCTAATAAAAACTAATCCTATCCTTGTTTATTACAGTTGTAATACCTATCCTATCCGAAACCTTGATATTTTACTGGCCTAACGCACCCTATATCCTATTTATTATAAAAGGAATGATGAAATTAGTAATAATACAATAATATTCAGCTTTTATATAGCGCTTAATACAATGTCTCTAAGCGCTTTACTAATATACTATTAACAACAACAACATCAGAGATTATCAAGTAACAGCCTATGATATTTTGACAAACTCGCTACATGTATACCTTTACTTATAGAGCTCATGATATATAGTCAAACTTGTCTTCATAGCCACCTCTCTTTAGTGCCATGCATCTTTTCTCCCTTGTGAAAACTAACTGTAGAAGCTGTTTATAGCAAGGCAACAATTTTACAGGGTGTGGCCATTATTTTTCCGTGGAATGACCTTAATAGTCAGGTTTGACTGTATTTTAAAGCTCGTTCTGGGTCCTACTTCATGGAATCACTTTACAACTGGCAACTCGTAGTCCGGCTCAGTATTCTCATCGGCTACTCCTAAGTTTGATTTCTTCACTCTAGCTGTTTGCTTTAGTATTGTTTGATTTTCATATTCTACCCCCTCGATTGCATTTGTGTGGCCTCTATTTCCGTGTCTAGTTGCTTTGATGTCTTCGTAGGTTGGTTGCTTCATAGTTGTTGCATCTAAGGACGTGTATGGATCTAGTTCCTGTCCCTCCCTGTCACTGACTGGCGGTTTTAGAGCGATTTTAGAGCGTCTGACATGGAGGAAAGAAAGATTATTGGGGAAATATAACATAGTTGTGTTCAGTGGCGTACGCAGGATTTTTTCAAGGGGGGAGGGGTTAACATTTTTTCCCAACGACTCAGCCAACCGCTGAATAAGCGGGGGGGGGGGGGGGTAAGAGCACATGTGTTTTGGGGGTCCCGTTTGGGGGTTTAACAAATCAAAAGAGGGGGGTTTACCCCCCCCCCCCCCTCCCCTGCGCACGCGCCTGGTTGTGTTATAGCATCAGCGCCTTCTAGGTAATCATTCAAATTATTATTATTATTTTATAAATTGGATTATTGTTATCATTATGGGGCGATTGTGGGTGTTTATGAGTGGTGGGGGCGGTATGGGGGATTGGGGCGGTGGGCTTTTAAAGGTCAACTCGATCTATATCTCACCTGAGATGCAGGTACATCAATGTTATGATGATACCATACAAGGTAACAAAAGCGAGTAGTATGCCCACAGCGAGAGTGCTGGCCACATCTGAAGAAGAACAAAATCAGGAAATAATTTATAGACAATAGGCCCATTTACACATCGATTTTGGGGCACTGCCATTTACACTCTGGAAAAACCCACAATAAACCTTCGGTGCTCAGATTCAGATTCAGATTTTATTTTCCATGTTAAAAAAAACAGAAATTTGGCCTCAGTCAAGGCAAGGGATGACAATGAATAGCATAAGTTTGCACAAAACAAAAACTTCAATTATATTAACAAACAGTTGAACATATTCTGACAAAAGTAAAGACCTACGCTAAGGAAGAGGAGATAGCAGAGAAAGATGAGAAAAAGTATGAGGGAGGAGCAAGAACGAACAAGAATATAGGTAAGTGGAAGACAGAATAAAACCGCTTACATATTATAACTCCAAACATCTGCTTTACTAAAGTTAAAAAGGTAAAAAGGCAGCAGCTCCCACCAGGCGCGTACGCAGGGGGAGGTGTTTGGGGGGGTTACCCCCCCCCCCCCCCCCTTTGGTATTTTTATGTGTATAAACCCCCCTAAAAAAAAAAAAAAAAACCCTTTGGTTTTTTTTTTTTTTTTTTTAATAATAATAAAAAATATATATATATATATATATATTCCTATGGCTGACCTAAAACAGGTGACCTTACCCACCCCCAACGGAGCAAAATGTCAAATTTTCAAATTTCGAGACCAAAAAAAAAAAAGTGTCCTCTTACCCCCCCCCCCCCCCCCCCCCCCCCCGCTTATTCAGCGGCCGGTCGATGCGAAATTTTCGGCCCGATTTAAAAATGTTAAACCCCCCCCCCCCCCCTTGAAAAAATCCTGCGTACGCGCCTGGCTCCCACTTGCAAACATGTACAAATTCCGCAAAGCTCCACCTGCAGACCCTCTCCAGCGCGAGCACACCCCAGCAAAATCCCAAACCAACCGGGCAAGAAGCCCGGCAATGAGAAGTAAGCGTCCCTTCTATTCTCTCTTAGTTAAATTTCGTGTCTGTCAGACACTTCATTCAGATCAAGAGAAAACAAAAGAAAGGCGCCATCCCTCCCACCACAAAACCACTCCCCCGTCAGACCTAAATTCCACCAGGGTCACCCTATCACGTCCATAAAATGTCATAAACTTTAATTTTCTTTGTTATTTATAACGGAATATATTTTTGTTCATAAAGGGTTAGATGTAAACATATTTGCAATAATATTTAGGGTGCATGTATGATTGAAAATTTCCTCGAGGTAAAACGAATATTCCTGATTTTTTTTTCTCACTGCAGAGCAAATGGGAGGGGAGCTCGCAAGGTACATCACAGAGTTGCCAACTTGCGTTTGATCGATAGCAACTTCAAAAATTCATAACTTTTGTTTTTTAATCGGATTTGCTCAAACTTTCACCTACCTGTTCCTCTTATTTTCTGCTTCTATGGAAGCTCACTTAATATCAAGGAGGCCTTTCCCTTTAGAATTACGTTTGAAAACAATCAATTATGATGATAGCTTAGTTCTACTTCCTTTCCATTGATTTGTTATTGTTGTTCTATTTTGTTAATATACAATATCGTATACTGAAATTGACAGTTATTAAAATCATTATAAAATAATATGTAGCAGAAGCTCTCTGTATCAAAAATATGTTATAGGACCAACGAAATTACTTTTTTATATTGATATACCGGAATGGTGCGAAATTCCCCACCAGAATCCATAATTATGTGTCTTTAATGACAGTATATTCTGACACTATACTTCGGATTTACATATACTGCCACCTTGGGCAATAGGGACTTTTAGATTTGAGTGGACGAGAACACGACGAACGCCGACTGATCATGCGTGTCAACTTCCTTAACTGCCCATGTTGACTACAATTAGAAATCTTTTAGATTTCACTCGACGATATACATGCATGCAGGAAGTAACACTATGAACATCACGGACAAAGAAAGAGGACAAAAGATACAGTTCCTCATTTTACCCTCAACAAAAGAACATACCTTTACTGCTATTAGGTAAAAATGTGTAGATCAGGTGAATATGCATGTGACACCTGTTCTACACATTTTTACATAATAGCAGGGAAGAAATGTTCCTTTGTCTACATGAGGAACTGTATATTTTATGCGCACGCGGCATACTAGTACCTTGAGCATGTAAAAGCACTATAGAAATATCAATATGTATGTATGTATGTATGTACTAGATTTAGGAAAATCAAGGTTGACGCATTCTCGATCGCCGACTGAGACGACGTAACGTATGCGCAGTGCCTTATGGAGCTCTCACACTCTGCCGTGTAGGCCTACCGTCCACCTGCCGGGCTATTAAAAAACAACAGAGTCCAGAACGTTGGGTTTTGAGCGAACTTATCCCCGGCCGCAAAAAAAAATCATAAAATTAATCTTTTCACCGTTTCGTTGCCATCTTCTGACCGTTCTCCCCGGGTGCATACCGGGTGTTGAACGTGCTTCTACCGTCTTCACCGCCCAGATTGACTTTTGTTGAAATTTTGGCCGTTTCCATACCGGGCCCATACCGGGTCTCGAACGTGTGCACCGGGTTTGTAGCAGCCACCTACCAGTCACTTAGCGTCCCCTCACCACTCGGAGGGTCCTGTGAGCGAGTCCCCGGACTGCTGACGTCATGACACGACTGCCATAAATACCCCGATTTGAACGGCAACGGTCAGTCCGCTCTCCATTTTCATCACCGTTCTTGTAACGGGTTATGAGCGTGTTGTGAACGTGTTCATACAGTGTGACCGTTTTCATAACGTATTCATACCGTCCTCATACCGTTCAACACCGTCCTCTTGCCGCTTACTTGCGGCCGGTGCCAGCCGGCCAATGTTTTGAACATGCCCAAAACTTTCGCCGGGTCCCACCGGGTTTAAATAAGCGCCAACGCCCTATTAACGTGTTGCCCGCTTTGATAACGAACCACCGTGTGCCCTCGCCGTCCTCCACCGTCCGCAGACATTTTCGCGCACGGTGGCACACGGTAGGCCTACACGGCAGAATGTGAGAGTCACTTTAAAGGGATCGTGTAACAATGTTAAATCTGAGATACACGGCCCGACGTGTTATCAGTGTCTGTGATATGGTGTAATATTGAAGCCCTAAAAATATTGCGCTTCAAAATGATCAAGAAGTGCCTCAAAAAAGTAAAAATCTTTCAGTGACCGGTTTTACCATACTCGTTTTCCCCAATAGACTGTAGTGTTATGAAAACCGTCAGGCGAACGGTTTTCAAACTTTGTAATTCCAATCATAAATATCTTGATAATCAGGCAGGCGATCGGCTTGTAAAAGTCATGGGGTTCCTGACTGACCTAAAGGTTTATAATTATCATTGCATCATGAGCTAAATCCAGAATTTTGTTTCAGAATCTGAGACAAAGTTACCGGATCCCTTTAAAATGACGCCACACGTTGCAGTCTAAGCAGTCGACGTGCAAATCTAAAATTCCCTACTGAAATCGGATGAAAAACGAAGAAGTAAGATCCACGTAGATAAAGAGTTATTATGAGTTTGGTGAAATTCAGTCCTTAATTTCCTCTTCCAGGTATTACAGGCCCGTCCGTGTAATAGACGAACATTTTAAAAGATGATTGACTGGATTTTCCATAATAATTAGAGGTCTTCAAGCGAATGCATTGTCGTTTTGATGTTTTATTGAGAAATGTGCATCCTTGTTTGTGCGTTTTCCTCTTCTTATTTTTCTTTCATTCTATCATTTTCTTTCCTTCTCTTCTTCGTCATTTTGGCAAATGCATGGGAGTCATACTTCGTCCAAGTTTTTATTAAAAGATTTCCTTTCTTCAGATATATTTCAAACAGCTTCTTAATATCAGTTATACCATTATTAATGTAAATTTGGAGCCACAATATCAAAATCAGAAAAAGGTATACACCCAAATCAATGTTACCCCATGTTGAAAAATAAAATATATAATTACAAGAACAATTACCACTTTGTTGGAGTGTTGTGGGCGTTTGCAAGGGTGTGGTCATTGTTGATGACGTCACAGCATCCCTGGTATTACTTGTCATCTCTGAGCTTGGTTGAATGGTCACTTCGTCAAGCTTCGCAGTTGACACAACGGCGGGTGTCGTCTGAACAGTTTCGACGAGAACTACATATACGTAAAACAGACGAGTTACAAGATAAGTGTCTAAATAACCTTGTACATAGCCTAGGGTATAGGTCAACAGTATAGAGCTACTTTGGAAAGTTATAATGAGACGTTTTATCACAATGTGACGCAGTGGCGGATCCAGGACCCCCCCCCCCCCCCTGGGAACAAAAACGTGTAAAAACTCGTCTTTTGGGGGGGGCTTGGACCCCCCCCCCCCCGGCGCCCAAGGGGGGTGCAAATTTTCGAGGGCCAAACAAAAGAAAAATGTGCTCACTACTGCTTAATCTGTAGCTTAATCATACTTTAAGCGCTAATGATGATGTTATCATCAACGGTGGGTGTATGTGTAAGTTTACAAAGTCTCAATATTATTACTGAATATACTCACTTCTGAAGACAGCTATAAATGTTGTCTCACCACAGCCGTCTGTATTGTCTCCTGCACATGGGACCTGACAGAACCGATCATAACTCGGTCCACGTAATAATTTTATGTTAGAGATGTTGCCGACTTCACCACAGAAACATTCATTGCCATTTTTTACGCCAGCGTGTGTATAGTTAGCTGTGGTTGACTCGTTACAAAATGTGATGCAATGTGAAATACTCATCGACTTACTGATGTAGATGTCGCCCTGAAGCAATCTGTCATTGGGATCATCCCAAAAACATCCTAAATACCCTTCAACTGTAAGGAAGACGAAAAATCACGAAATTTACAGTGTCATCTTTCCAAAGTGAAATTGCAGATGAAATGTATTCAACTGATATCAACGTAAGAAGTAGCAATAACAATACTTGATTTGGTACTACAAAATCGAGGAACACCAACGAAAACATACATTCTAAAACTTTTCGTCTTGCCCTCATCAGATTAAATGAAAGAACAGAAAGTATGATACATTTCCAAAGGGCCAGCCCAT